GATAGATAGATAGATAGATAGATAGATAGATAGATAGATAGATAGATGATGGGTGGATGGATAGATGTAAGAGGATAGATGATGGATGGATGGATGGATAGATAGATAGAGACAGACAGACAGATAGATAGATAGATAGATGGCAGATGTAAGATGATAGATAGATAGATGGATAGATAGATATAGACAGACAGACAGACAGATACATAGATAGATGTAAGAGGATAGATAGATACCATAGATAGATATACATAAGAGGATAGATAGATGATAGGTGATAGATAGATGTAAGAGGGTAGATAGGTAGGTAGGTAGATGTAAGAGGATAGATAGATGATAGATGTAAGGATAGACAGATAGACAGAGACTGATAGATAGATGTATGTAAGAGGATAGATGGATGGGTGGATAGATAGATAGCAATAGCACTTATGTATCATTTCACAGTGCTCCACAGCCCTCTCTAAGCAGTTACAGAGTCAGCTTCCAGCCCCCAACAATCTGGGTCCTCACTTTACCCACCTTGGAAGGACGGAAGGCTGAGTCAACCTTGAGCCGGTCAGGATCGAACTGCTGGCAGTGGGCAGAATTAGCCTGCAATGCTGCATTCTAACCACTGCGCCACCATGGCTCATAATAATCATCATAATAATTTGCATTGAAGAAAAATACAATTAGTCCTTGACTTACAACAGTTCATTTAGTGACCGTACAAAGAAAAAAAACAGCCCTGAAAAAAGCAACTCATGACCGTTTTTCAGACTTACGACCGTTGCTGATCATGGTCACATGATCAAAATTCAGACGCTCAGCAACTGGTTTATAGTTATGACAGTCTTAGCATCCCGGGGTCACATGATACCCCTTTTGCGACCTTATGACCAGCAAATGGGGAAGCCAAATTCACTTAACGACGGGGTAACTAATTTATCAAGGGCAGTGAGCCACTTAACAGCTGGAAAGGTTGTAAAACATGGCAAAGTTCATGTTAACCAATGCTTCACATAACTTTGGAACTCAATTATGGTCATAAGTCGAGGACCACCTGTATAAAACGAAGCGCCCTCATCAAACTTCTGAGGGAGAATGTCAGTTTATCAGGATAAACT